TTCCCCTCTGTTAAAACAATTACACATTTAAAACCTCTTAATTCTTACATTGTAAGCAGCTCTAAAACATCACACAGTTACAATATTGGCAGTAACAGAATAAACAATTAACAAATTATTCAAAAATGAAGGCTGCAATATTGTTGTCTACATGGAATCATAATAGTACAAGCATTCATCTCCTAGACACTAATGTTGACTTATCAGTTATAATTTCAATAATACAAATGTGCATAAAAAAAGGAATATAGAAGATCTTTAAAATAATAAAGGCAATGAGACAAAAGTCAAGCTTCATTTCTATCCACTTTCCTATAGAAATGAAACTGTTTTACATCTTTATTGAAAGTTTTGCAATAAGGAGAAATAAAAAACCTAATTACAATCATTAGTAATTGTAGTAATTTTGTGTTATTAGGAGTTGTGACCCAGTGGGGGAAACTGAATTTTGGCAAGATGAAATACTATACATAATAAAAGAAAAAAAATCATGACTTGCAGACACAGAGATTCGACAAAAGTGTAATAATTTTGACTGCAAGGGCTACTAGCAATCTCTGTTATGAAACTCTGTGTTACAGGTTGCCCAGTGGGAGGTAATGGGCAAAATCTGTTTCCTTATGCATTTGGCATAATTGAAAACAAACAGGTGTTTGTTAGGATATCATTATTGAAGGACCATCACAGCAAAATAAGATTTTTCAAAGGGATTGACTCACGAGACATAATGGAGACAATGAAGTCTAGAGCTCAGCTAGCTACACAGTGACTCTCCAGGGACTAAACACTAGTGGGAATCTGATGTTAACAGCAACCCCAGAAATAAGTTTCCTAGGGTACAACTCAGTGAGGTAATAGGAGCAACAGGGTAAACTCAGGAAAGGTCTTCTTTAGAGTAATTTTCCAAAAATGCAAACAAGCACTGCTCCTTCTCCTCCAAAAGCAGCTCCCTAACAGTGAGATGAATGAAATGTTTGGATCATTTTCTAGGAAAACAATTTGAGTCAGGGATTGGTATTTTGGTCAAAATGGAATAACACACTAAAAACGTGCAAAAAGGAGCATTGATTTAAACAGTATTTCATCTCTGTATTACTACAAGGATTATAAAAATCCCACTGCTTGGGAAAGGGCACATAGTACAAAACAGTCATGGAGCACCTGGAAGCAAATGCAGGTTTAAGTGACAATTTCATTTCCAATTTCAAACAGTTCATATATTTTGTTAGCTCCCTATGTATTTGGAGACTCTAGACTCCTGATCTGAAAGTGGATCCCATATGCATCCTGGAAAAGCAGCAGCTCTAGGGATGACATTGATAGTGTTTGACATAAGAGACGTACATGACTGTAGAGATGATTGCTATAGAGCTCTTTTGTCCTCATTCCTGGTTTTAATTAACAGATTAATTATTTCAGCAGTCTAGATAAGCTCTAAAAGAGTAGAATTGCATTCTAGATTGAATACAATCATAAAGAGCATATCTGATAAAGTTGTTCAATCAGAGAATGTAGCAAATTTTCTTTACAGAGGACCCTGAGCACAGAGCCAGTGCTGCTGCTTGTCCTAGCACAGTGAGCAGCAATTACTGCTCCTGCTCTCAGCTACAGTTTCGTGCCTGACTAGATGCCAGGATGGGCATCAGTGGTGCCACCAGCACATCTAAAACACTCTCAGAAGAATCAGTTCCACTTCTGCTTCAGAATTTTAGAGGACACATCTCTGCTCCAAAGTTCTGTACAGAAAAATGGCTGATGGCAGCACCTATGATTTCAGCTTGTCTTTGCTGTTTTTATTAGGGCAGCTTTTTATAACTCCAAATACCCACTTGCATACAGGCTGCTCCTTTTGTCAAAAAAAAGGCTTCACATCTATTTGCTTCCTGCCACAATCGAATGGAGGCATGAGAAAGGATTTTCTGCATATTAAATCACAGTTGTGAGCAGGATGGAAGAAGAAACACAACTTCATCTTCTACACAAAATACAGAGAGCACAACAGTACTGGATTCCAAATACTGCAGAGCTTTTGACCATTTCTGTACAACATTGCAACACAGGTAATTTATTTTTCTTTTTCTTAACTAAAATATACTTTGAGGATAAAGATACAACTAAAACCACTGAATTATCTGTCGACATTACTTACATATGTTTATAAACACATTTATCTTAACAAGAGCTGTTGGGAAAGTTGACATTTTAGGGGGCTTCATTCACATTCATGTGCTTTTGTCACAAAACAGAACAGAAAAAAAAAAAACCAAACGAGCCATAACACTAGCTTACTTGTGGATGTGTATACTAGTGAACTGGGGGCACTGTACACGGGAGATCCCTCCTGGTTTGCCTGGCACAGCAGCACCCTGCCTACAAGAAAGAGAGAGAGAGTGGTATCTGGTTTTGGAACACTTCAACTAAACCTCAGTTTTTATCTCAACACACAAATAAAGTCCCAACCGCAGCAGTGCAGTGAAGCAGGGGCACTTTTTGGCCTTGGACTTCAAAGCAGAAAGAGCCCCAAGAAACATGTACAATTTGACATTGGCAAAAGCAAAACACAGACATGCCCCAAAGCACCAACACCCCTGTGATACCCCCGGGGAAGCTGGTGCTGCTCTGAGCATCCGCAGCATCTCCTGGCCCAAGCTGCTCTCTCTCCCTCTCCCTCTTCACCTTGGCTCTCCAAACACTCTGCTGCCCATGGGAGCATCCAACCACCCACCCCACTCAGCTGCTGCCTCCTCAGCTCCCTGAGCCTGGCTGGAATGAGGATGCTCAAGCCACCAGAGCAGGAAAATCAGACCACAGTGTTCCCATGTAGAGGCATCAGGCCTTGTAGACCTCAGTTACAACACTTCCATTAACACCTGTGCAAGTGATTGCTAATACAGCTGAGGAGTTCAGGATTTTTTGTTCAGAGAAATACATAAACATAAGCTACTTTCCAGTAAATAAGCTGGATTCAGGTTTAAGAACAAAACTCAATAAAAGGAGAAAAAATAATTTGTTTTTCAAAGAAAAAAAAGTGAAAGTAATAACTAAATCAATTTAAACCAACACTTTTGCAATGCTCATTTTGAACAAACAACACGAGGTGAAGCTTATTTCCTGGGGTTTTCAAAATGAACTTAAATAAAGTGCCTTAGTCCTTCTTAAATTATATTTTAGCAGTCGTAGCTGAATACAGATTCAACACTGATTAGAGGTAGAAACAACTGCACTTTCACACTAAGGAAAAACCTGGTGCACTTCTGGAATACAACCTGCCAGGAAAAGCAGGATATGGCACATCTGGTTTTGCAGATCTATGCACATATATCTGTATATACAGAGAATTCTATACATGCATCCACTGTCACACTTCAAGCTGTCAGGATTTGTGAACCACACAATTCAAACCCGTTCAATTTATATGGAGATTTGTCAAACTTCAGAAGCTGTGCAGTGACATGCAATGTGCCTCCACAGAGTTGAGTCCAATCAGTTTGGAAGGACAAGATGAATTACAAATGGTAGGCAGGTTTTCCATTGAGTATTACCAGAGCAATTCTCACCTTCCATTCAGTTACCAGAGTTCTTGCAAAAAATATTTGTGAAACATTTTGCTGCCATTAACCAGTTGTTTGATTAGTGCTTGCAACTGTCAGGTAGAGGAGGAATATGGGAAATACTAAAGAAAAATAATTCTTGTCATTTCTTCAGTTTAGCTAAGATTGTGACCACTGGAAATGTCATGAATCATTTTGGTTCTGACCCTCCCAGACAATAGCATACCCTTAGCTAAGAGGATTTAGAGATATTTTCTTTTTTCAGCCATCCACTATTAATATGAAAGCTAAAACAAGCTAAATTTTTCCCCTTTAAAGCCATTACATCATTGACTATATGGACAACTTTCTCAGCCTTCTAAAAAAATCCACAAGTGTAAGCTGTCAAATGAATGTATCCCTAATAAGATCCTAATTGCATGCAGCATTTTCAGGCTAGCAAACAAACAGGTCCTGTCCACATGCTCATTTGACACCAGGAATGTGTAAAGGGGAATACTGATGAATGGACACCAGAGATGCTGCAAAACTTGTGCTACTGCAGAAGCCTGAAAATAAAAGTGAGCTGAAGACCTGGAGATATTCATCCAGCTGAAACACATCAGTGCAATCAGTAATTTTCATTAGGGTTTAAGAATAATATAACTAAAATCACTTCAAGTCTGATTAGTAACTATATAAAGAAAAAGGTTTTTAAAAATCAAAGATGACAGTTTATTTACATTATTTACCATAAATCCTAAGTGACACTTGGCTTCCTCCATGCTCCATAGGTATTTTCCTATTCTTACATTTTTTCTGATTTCATCGCATACAAATCTAATTTTCCCTACTCTAGTCTTCTAATTTCTAAAGACAGTACTTCAAAACAGATGTTTTTTTTTTATCTGTGCTACTAGAGTGTATTTAATTTCTTGCATGGAGCATTCTAATTTTATTTTGACAACCTGCCTTTGAATTTGTACATAAAATTAATACTGATACCTAAAACACTATTATCAAATTCTGTAAGAAAAAAATATTGAACTTTTTTATCTACTTTTGTGAGAACAGATTATTTCCTCTGCATCTAATTTTGGCATTAAAAATATTTACATTGTAATTAATACAACTGGGGAAGACTGAATTATTTACAATAAGATCTTGGATAAACCTCAGAACACAGAAACAATCTAGAAATTCCCTAATGAAAAAAAAAAAATCCTATTTTTCCTCCAGAATACTAAATACTAGCACGCTGGAATGAAGAAGGGAGCTTTTTAAGGAAGAGGATTTTAATACAAAGTTATTAACATTTCTGTTCAAACTCTACGTTAATAATATCACAGAGCTGCTGAACTTGATAAAATTCCAGCCATCCAAGAGTTCATCTTTAATTCTACAATTCCATCTGTGCCAGTGTATTTCAGGCTGATAGCTTCTCCTTAAGGACAATCTCCATGCTTTTTTTTTTTCCCCTAACATTTACTTAGGTGGTCACAGCAGATGCGTGACCAGAGACAGAGGATTTTGGAGATCACCAGCACAAAGTCCCTCATGACTCACTCAGCAAAGGATCAGAAAGTGTCAGCACATGAAGCTGAAGAGGCTGTTCCCGTGGTGCACACAGCAGAGCTCTGGAGGGAGCAGTGCCAGGGGGGACAATGAGGTCCCTGTGCTGCTGGGGGTAATGGCAGGACAGCAGCTCGGGGGGCTGAGCCAGCTGTGAGCTGTGCCACTCACATGGGCAGCTCACACTGTCCTACCTCTGCACAGATCCCCCTGCCTGGCCAGGAATGGGTTGCCCAGGGAGGTGGTGGAGTCACCAACCCTGGAGGTGTTGGAGAAGCATCTGGACCCGGCGCTGGGTGATGTAGTTTAGGGCTTGCAGTGATAATGCTGGTGGATGGTTGGACTTGATGATCTTAAAGGTCTCTTCTAACCTTGAGGAGTTTATGATTCACCCTGGCACACAGGCTGGCAGCATGGACAAAACCATCCTTTTCAAGATCAAAGGATATTCCCACTCAGCTTTCTATTCCTCCCATGTTTTCTCCTACAGTCCGTGATTAAGAATGTACTGTTTGATTAGGTCCTTTGTCAAAGCACTACAGCTATTTTGAGAAATAATTGCTCTAAAAATATTCAGGGCTGCAAAGAAAAAAAATAATAAAAATGATGTGAAGTCATTAATATTTTTAGAATACTTAAAATTCAGCTCCCAATGGTTTCAAGATCTCTAACTAGATGTATTTTCCTAATTTTTTCATACTCTCAAAAATAAGTTTTTGTGTACAGTTATTTACATGATTCATATAAACTAATCTGCAAAGCATAAGTGCAAATACTTATGTACTAGTGATGCTGCACAGACTCTGCACTGTCTCATACAAGATACAGCACAAAATTCACTGTATTTCTCAAGTACTCAGCCAAGAAGTAGCACCCAGGATCAATAACAAGAGGACTCCCCAACAAATTATAAAGGATTTTAAACCACTTCTGTTAAAAACAGCTTTTAACTGGAACCACTGTGTAGCCAGCACCACAGACAGCTTAAAAGGACAGGTCTGGAATGAGTTTAAAAGACTTGACACAATTACTTAGAACCTCTCATGGCATCATTTGTGGAAGTATAAACTGAAATAATATTTTCAGCAGAAAAAAAATTCATACCATTAGCTACAATCATGCTGCTGATGTGAAATGAACAGTGTCATGTGGCCTCAATCATGGACACAGCTCTCTCCTGTCACAGGAAGTAGATGAAACTTCTACAAACCTTTACTACCAAGATGGTTTCAAGTTCATACAACAGTTCCAAGAACTTGAACTCACAATGCAACATCTCACCAGAGCTATGACTTTAGTACCTTGGCTCATGAACCAACTTCTTCCCCAGGAATTTTGGGAGGATTTATGAAAAGAAAGAGGACAGAAGTTGCACTGTAGGGCTCAGTACCTTGCTGGGGGTTTGCCCTGGGACATAATGAAGTGAGATACAAGGGAAAACTGATTTCCTCCTCTCACTCCAGGAACCCTACAGAACCACAGCTTCATCACAAGCTCTCAGGACAACTCCAAAGTGACAGTTTTGCTGAGTTCCCTACAGCATACAACTGCTGCCATCACAGTAATTGCAGAAGCATTTTTAATGGCAGGAATTAATCAAGTCAATATCCAGGACTAGTCCATGCTGGGTATGAATGTACAAAGAGCTAAAATAAGCACTTGTAATACAGGAACTAAATAACTTACTACATACAAGGAGATTTAGTGATGATTACATTGCTCTAATCCATTGTGCTTCCCAGGTAAAGTAGCTGCTCTTATTACATACTTATTCTATTGTGTTACCAAAGGAGCTTCTTAAGTATCAGTTCATGCATTTTGTAATACTATTTATCAGAAAAAAAGTACAAACAAAGCCACAGGAGAAAGCGAATAAAGCATAATACTATTTACATCCCATTTTTGCCTATATTATTACAAACTGTTATTTTATGACCCTAATCTAAAAGCTACATTATTTATAAAACTCAGTGATTGTTATTTCATCTTCTCTTTCCCCCTATCCAGCTTAATCTTCTCTCTGGGTTAGTTCTGACCATTCTGATCACTGTTTGCCTTTGTACCTTCTGCAAAACTATAATTCCTACACATTTCAGTGTGCAATGCATGAAGAAAACTGTAAAGCTGCATCTCTCATGATCAAATCAGGAGATTTGCAAGTGTGTCAAACATCCTCATAAGCAATCTGTGTCTGCTCTTGATTTGCTGTTCTAAAAGTGTAATTTAATATTGGTCTTTTCAGACAGAAATAACATTATCTTTGTTCTG